ATAGATCATTGGAATAAAACAGAGAATCTAGAAATAGAACCACACATATATGCTGGCCAATATTTCTTTTAGGAAATATTATCCATGCTTCCTTCTTTTGGGGATGGTACTGAGGACTGAAGCCAGAGGTGCTCTATCACTGAGCTACACCTCCAGCCTTTTTTTATTGAGACAGGGTTTCTTTTTTTTTTTTGGTTCCAGCGATCGAACTCGGGTTCTTGTGCTTACGCAGCAGGCGGCAAAACCACTGAGCTAAATCCCCAGCTCTGAGACAGGGTTTCTTAAATTGCCCAGGCTGGCTTCAAACCTATGATCCTCTTGCCTTAGCCTCCCGAGCTGCCAGGATTGCAGGTGTGCACTATCATGCATGGTTGCACGCTCCCTTTTAATAAACAAACCTTCCCACTAGCCTTTCTCCTAATATCCAATACAGAGCTTTGTTTTCTAATCTGTTATAAAACTTTTCATCTCCCAAATATACAGACACCCCACTGTAACAGTTAAGAAGTTTTTCCACTCACAGCCTGCAGAGACTCTGAGGACATCTCTCAGGCAGTGCCCCAGCCTCCCTCCCAGCCGTTCATCATTGGAGCAGGTCAAGCCCTGCACACTCCTTGGGGTGAATCAGACTAAAACCCAGTTTGGAGGCTCCCAAGGAAGCAGCCGGTTTGTCTGCTGTTTCTTTAGTGGTGCTGAGAATCAGACCCAGGGCCCTGTGCTGCCTCCCTGGCTGTGGAATCACAGCAGGCGGACCCTGTCAGGGCACAGCCACCCTCGGGACAGAGCTGGTTTATGTGATGCTGTCGCTTCCCCGCTGGAATCCCCGTGGGTGCGGGTGGGAGGTCAGAGGGACTCGGGATGGCGGCCTTCTGTCCCGACCATCTGCAGCTGAGGGCTCCCTGGCGGGGCAGAAAGGCTCTGGGGACAGGCGGGAGGCACAGGGAAATGTGCAGTGCTGCAGGTCCCACAGTGGCTTCAGCTGGGGGTGGGGATCTGCCTCGGGGTACCGGGCCCCACAGGGGCGGCCCCAGGCAGCACTCACCTCTGCTGGACCCTCGGGTCTGTCTGCACCAGCGGCAGGATGGCCTCCAGCACCTTGCTGGCCGAGCCCGGGAGCATCTCCAGCACCTTCTTGTCGATGGCCATTTTGTCCACGATGGTCTTAAAGTAGCGCAAGGCGCTGACCACTTCCTTTTCTTTCTCTTCCAGCCAGCTCAGGTTCTGAAAGGAAATGTTAAGCATAAGGAGGGAGGGGAGACATTAAAATTTCCTCTAAACTAGCCTGACACCACTGTGAATGGAAGAGGCTACAGAAACCACGCCGGGTGGCTTTGCTAAGGACTGTGACGAGGACACAGAAGCGCAGAGCAGAGGTCCCGACCCCCGCCTGCACCCCGGGCCCTGAGAGTTGTTCTCCTCCAGGTCCTGACCAGCCACATCAAGACCACAACCAAGCCAAGCCGGCAAGCCGGTGAGGACGTGTGCTGACGGCAGGGGAAGCAACAGCCATGCCCCTGGATGCACACACTAAGGCCAGTCCAGAGTCATCCCAGCTTTCTTCCAACGACTGGGGTGTGGGGGGCGCCGAGAGAGAGATGGGCAGGGGTCTCCTCACTGGCTTCCCACACTGCTCAGCCCCAGCCCACAGCCTCTCAATGGAGTTATGCTAGCTACTCCCCCAAACCAGCAACCCAGGGCTGGGAGAGGTGGGCTGCTGGGGTGAGCAGGGAGGGAGAGAGGCTGCGGCAGTGCAGTGCCCAGTGCCGGGCTGTTCCTGAGGAGAAGGCCGACCCCTTCCTCCCTGACTATGGAGACTGCTCCCTCCCTTCCTCTTCCCCAGCCTCCTCCTCCAGTGGCCCTAATGGCAGTGACACGGGCCGCTGGGGCAGGCAGGGGCAGGGATATCGAGGGCCATCTGCTGAGTGGAGAAACCCACAAGTGCGCGATCTACTCAAGTCGAACAGATGACAGGCCAGTGCAAATGAAGGTGGTGTGTACCCAGAAACGGCCAGCCCTGGGCTCTCCGGGGCCGGAAAGAAAAGCAAGGGAGGTCACGCAGGGTAAGAAGGTACCTTCCAGGGAAAGTTAACTGAAGCAGTGATGTGTAAGTGTATAAACAAATGGCACAAATATTCTGAGACAGCATTTCGCTATGTAGTTGTACCCCAGGCTGGCCTCGAACTCGTGGGGATCCCCCCTCCTCAGCCTCCCAGTGCTGGGATCACAGGTGTGCCACCACCAAGCCCAGCCCAAAAGTGGTTATGATTTTGAACACTAACTTTTCTTCTAAAATGATGGGGGACATCATTTTAAATAAAAAATTCATTAGTGGAGGATCATCGAAAGAAAACTACAAATAAATGAGATCAACAAGGAACAGCTTCCTGGGCAGACAAGCTCCAAAGCCCAGAATGGCTTCTCTGTGGACCTCCCCAGAGTGTCCTGCAGACCACGGGGACACCGCAGGGCGCACACCCCCTCCTGCTTGTCGCGGGTCCTCTGCACCCTGACTCACTCTCTCCTCTCACGAGCTGAACAGTTTACTTCCTGCTGTCTCCATGGATCGGGTACTGCTTCCTCACCACCAGGACAGCACCATCAGGCTTTGAGAGGCCTGCCAGCAGCCAGCATGACCAGAGCCACAGTCGGGCTGGAGGGGGACCAGACAGATGCTGCCATCCCAGCACACCAGGAAATGCCGGAGGCCAGCAAGGATTAAACTCCGCGCCGGGAACAGGAAATATTTTAAGAAAATGTGACCCTAGGCGGCAAGAGAGAAAGGGGTTGATGGGATGGGGGTGGGGTGGGGGTGGCCTAGCAGTCGGGCGGCGCCCATTCCCCTCCCGAGTGCTGGCCTCTGAGCACTGGGCCCTCCCTCGCCCTTCAGCTGCTAAGTGTGGCCAGGTCTGCAGGGACACAGTGACACCCACACCCGGAACTCGCTCCAGGTGGCTGTGCCGAAGGTGCTCAGGCACACGAGCTCACAGAGCACACGTGTCCGTCTGTGTACCCCTCCAGCCGGAGAGCAGCTGCCACCACCGGTCCCCATAACTCTGCCAAGTCCAGAAGGCCAGCAGCCACGCCGGGCTCCCCGTCTGTGTGTGTCGCTGCTGAGGTCAGCACTGGGGCAGAAGAGGCTGTGAGTGGAAGCAGTCCCAACAGCTACCAGATGCCACACTGGACAGAGGCTGTGCGTGGCTAGCAGTAAAGCAGGGACAGAGGATGTAAATCCCCGAGGGAAGGAGAGAGGCAGCCCACAGCCACTAGCGCTCTGTGTTTCGTGGGCGCCCACTGTGGGGCTACAACACACCACACCACACCACAGGGCAACCCCAATCTGTCCACAGGTGGGGACACTGAGGCCTGAGCCCTCGCTGCAGACGGTCAGAGCGCTGTAATGTGGGGCCTGGAATCTGAACTTGGTCTATTTGATTCCAGAGCTTGGGGAGACAGCAGGAAAACACATTAAAGATGTGCTGGAAGAAGTAAAGAAATTTACTAGTAACCCCCTGGTGAAAAAGGAGGCGCAGGTGGGAGACTCTGACACGCTTTCCTGCTGATGTCAGTGTCACTGTGACATGGCCAAGCTCTGTGGCCAGGGCAGGAGACCTGGCCCTTCCCCGGCTACTCCCCCACTCCCACCCTGGCCTCCATCATCCATGTGGACGCCACAGACGGCCCAGGCCGCTCACGACACTGCCAACGGGGAGCCACACGAACCTGGGCTGTGCGGGCTGTGCTGGGGGGCACCAAACACAGAGCGGGAGTCACAGGCCGACGGGGCCCTGTGCACAGTGCTCGTCCCGCTGGGTTGCACCCGGGGCCTGCATGGAGCCCCCAGGCAGCCCCACCTGCCTCCACCTCTCCCTGCTTATGCTTCACAGGAGGACCTCACAGGCTGCTCAGGAGCCGGGCCCGCCTGTCCTCACGCCTCTGGGCTACCTCGGGTCAGGGCCAACTGGGTCGGGTATGGCTGTCAGCTCCACCGCTCAGCCTGTGGCTAAATGTCCTGCTACTTCAACCCTACAGCTCACCATCAGGCCTGTTAATAGCTCTGAACAGTTCATAAATTCATCTATGGGCATATAAAGGCAATAGAACGCAGTGGAAAACAGACTTTGGGCAGGAGCCAACACCATGCTGGGAATAACAAAAATCCTTCCCCTCAAGGTTATGATGAGGAGAAAAGCAGCAGCACCTGGATGGGGCTTGGGGCTGGGCACACAGCCCTCCATAAGAGGTGAATCTGCACTGCCCCCAGGACCTGGCTTCAGTTTCGGCCGGGAGAGCCATGCAGGCAGGCTGGAAGAAGATGACACCGTGTGTGCAGACCTCCTCTGAGTGGCCAGAGAGCTGGCCAGTGAGGACTGATGACAGCAGCCTGAGCCTGGGGTCACAGCCCCTGAGTCCCCACACCGGGTGACACCCGCATTCCCAGTCCTGCCTGGGGCCACCCACTCTGCAGACAGCAGCCTCTTCATGCTGGGGCTGGCAGGGGCCACACGGGCCTGGTGGTCCAGGGTGCAGGTCTCACCAACAGCTCCCTGCACACAGCAGGCCGCGCCTGGGTGCCTCGGCTGGGCGGGGCCGACGGTTCCTTGCTGTGGGTGCTGCCCTGTGGCTGGGAGGTGACACACACCCCGTCCCTGCCCCTAGATGCCCAGTAGGTCCACTGGACCCTCCTATGGTGACCCTGGAAGTGTCCAAGTGCTCTCTGCCAAGGATGTCCGGGGGCTCGTCTGCAGGCACCCCATTAAGTGAGGGGTGCTTTCACATCAAGTTCTCCTCCATGACCTCTGCTGAGAGACTGAATAAGATGAGAAAAAGTCCAAGAGCAGAGCGGCCAAACAGTCTCCAAGGTTTCGCTAGCAGGGCAAAGGTGTCAGTAAGCCTCATCTCTCTGCACTGCTCCAACTGGCGCCGAGGCCGGCCCGTCTTCTCCCCGGAACCAGTGCCTGCCATATGGTAACAGAACCGCACACAGTCTCCTCCTCGCCTGCGCTCCTCCCTCCAGTTTGGGACTCAGATCTCTGGCTTGCTGGACGCTTCCCTCCTCTTCCTCAGCCTCCTTTGTTAACAGATGGGGCAGGAAAAACTACCATTCCACAAAAGGCTCATGGATTTAAAATCTTTACTTCTCTACTTTTAATAAACTTTTAAAATATTCTGCCAGCCAACTTAAAAACCAAAAGTAGACGACTTGCAAGACTCAAGAACTCCGGCTGGGTATGGTGGCACACACCTGTAATCCCAGCACTGGGGAGCCCGAGGCCAGCCTGGGCTATGTAGTGAGTTCAAGGCTGGCCTGGACTAATGAGTGTGACCCTGCCCCCCCCCCCCCGAACTGTTTCAGTGACAGGGTAGTCAGAGTTTGTCAGCTGTGTAAAACTGATGCTGCACAATAGTTCTGGGAGAAAGGATCACCAGAGGATAAGGGTCTATTTCTTGACAAAGCTTATTTTACTTTAAAATGCTAAATTTATTTGTGTGTATAGTATGGGTCGGGATTAATGTTTAGATCTGTGAGATATCATAAGTAAACTCTGGCTTTCTTTCTTAAAGAAGGACGGGAACGGTGAAAATCCAGACTGACGTCCAACAGCCTGCGTTCACCTTTCTCGCTGTGTACCGTGCTTAGTGCTTCTCTGAGGACTCGGCCTGTCCCCGTCAGGGCCGTCAGGGAGAATGAGCAGAGAAGAGCGCAGACACATGGCGCCTGCTCTGAGTGCGCCTGGCCTGGCAGGTAGGCAGCGGAGCGCACTCCAGGTGCTCGGTGCGTTCCTCTCCTGAGCCGCTCCCACGGCCTCAGCAGCTCCAGCAGAGAACAGCTGCTCTTTGCTTCCCCTGAACCTGCTGACCTGACAGGACATCCGGCCCGAACCCAGCCAGGACCCTGAGCTTTCACTGGGCTCCAGTGCTCTCTCCAGACCAGGGGAGCTTGGACCAGCTCTGCTTCTGTCCAAGACCCCTCAGGCTCTAACACTTCAGCCCACAGCTGCCACCCAGTCAGACACAAAGATACTGTGAAAGCTGCTTTTCCAGCCCAACCATGGACCAGGGTTCTGCAGTAGAAGGAAGGCAAACCCAACCATTCTGAAGTCACACTGACCTTCTGCCTCTGAGACCTGGAAGCCACAGCACTGGTGGACATAAATTCTACTGCCTGCTGCTCCAGATCCAAGGGGATAGGGTAGCCCTCTGGTAGAAATCTGTTTCTTGCCTCCTGGAAGAGAGGAAACCTGGATTCCTACAGAGCTTGGCCGTTGTGGGCTGAAGAGAGGGTCAATGAAAACCAACAGCGGTTCCAATACATCTGGCTCTGCAGGCCCTGCCAAGGTCACTTGTGCTAGAGGGTGTCTTTGGCTGGGTGTGGAGGATTCCCGGCTACGAGCAGGGCCCTGAAGCTGAATGATGGGCGTCTGGACATCACAGACCTCCCTGTGTGAGTGCCCCAGGGAGGGCACTCTGGGGTGGAGGCAGCACCCAGCACATGACCGACTGAGGCACCCTGAGGGAGGAGCAGCAGGGAGGAGAGCCGCCCTGGCTCCTGCTGGACTCTGCTGCACACACGGTCCCTATTTCAGAAGGACGCAGAAGGAGCCAAGGGCCGCACTCAAACAACACAACTCACACTGCCGCGCGCACACGGCCAGGGCGGGAGCACCTGGAGAGCCAGCTTACTTTGTTGACGGGCTTCTCCAGGATCTTCACAGACACCTCTGCTGGCTTCCCCTTCTTCGACGGCGTCCTCTTGATTTTGGGCGAGTGGAATTTGTCCATCAGCTTCATGGTGAAGGAAGAGAGGTGAGAACGCTGGGAGTCTGAAAACACAGAGGGCACCGGCTGTTAGAGGCCGGCGTGGGAAGCAGCTGTGACTCCCCGACCTTCCGTGGACACCAACAGTCCTCAACCCAATCTCCTGACTGCTGGGGCTCAGAGGAAAGGGACTATGGACCCACTAACACAGCTTGGCTTTTGGGGTTCAGCCTCTGCAATTTCCAGCAAGGGTGGATTGCTCAGAATTGTGGGCACGGAGAGCAACCAAGAGAGGCAGGGAAAAAGAACTTGTGAACACATGTAAGTGTCCTTTCTGTACCATGGCCTAGCCAATGTCCAAGGGACCTAGCTAAAAAGAAAGCGTTCCAGTAGAATCACAGACACGTAGGATGTAAGAACTAATGAGGAAGGCCTTCCCAAATCAGCTGCGGGATGCAGCCAGGACCCAGAGCTGGCAGCGGGGACTGGACTGGAAGTGAAGTGTCCACCTTGCTCTGGGCTGGGGTGAAGGACTGAATGACTTCCCCTAGGATCTGGATGAGACAGGAAGTCCCTTCTCATTGCTCCAATCTGACACTGCACTCTCAGGGCAGTTGGGTAAGAGAAAGAAAGAGGAAAAGGCACCCTGACTAGAAGAGGAGACACCAAACTATCTCTATTTGTGCATGACACGATCTTACGCACAGTAAAGCTCAGCAATCTACTGAGCTGTTAGAACTGGGGTGGGGGTGGAGCTCAGGGCTACAGCACTTGCCTGGCTGCAGGTGGCCCAGAGTTCATCCCCCAGTGCTGCAAAACCAAACAACCCACGAGTGTTAGTATAACAGTAAGGTCACAAGACACGAGGTCAATACACAAAGATCAGTTATATCTCTACACAGTGGTAATGAACATTCTGAAATGAAATTTAGAAAGTTTCATTTATAATATCATCCAAAAAAGGATACATAGGCACAGAGTCAGCAAAAATGTAAGATTTACACACTGAAAATTATAAAATATTGCTGAAAAAAGTTAGAGACAAGTTAAATAAATGAAAAAGCATATTATGTTCATGGTGCAGAAGGCTTGATATTAGGATTCCAATACCCAGTGATGATAATTTGCAGTCTATGAGAATTCCAGCTGGCTTTATAGAAACTAACACTCTACTCCTAAATTAGTACGGAAATACAGTGATTCAGAATGGCCGAAACAATCTTGGAGAAAGACAAAGCTGGGAGACTCATATGCCTCAACTTAAAAATGAACTACTAGAGGGCTGGGGATTTAGCTCAGTGGCACTGCGCCTGCCTCACAAGTGCAAGGTCATGAGTTCGATCCCCAGTACCAAAAAAAAAAGAACTACTCAAAAGCCATACTACTTGACACTATGGTACTTACAGGGAGACAGACATGGAGCTCAACAGCACTGAACCGAGTCCAGAAATAAAACCATGTGGTTATGGCAACTGACTCTCGAGAAGAAAGTCAAGACTACTCGGTGGGGAAAGAATGATTTCAACAAATGGAGCTGGGAAAATCGGAAGTCATGTGCAAAAGAATGAATCCAGGCCTCTAAATTATATCAGATACCAAATGCACTCAAAATGAACCGAAGACCTAAATGAGAAGTTAAAACCACAACACTCTTGGATTTGACCATGGCCTCTGAGGTATGGCACCAAAAGTTCAAGCAACAAAAGTAAAAATATACAAATTGGACTTCATCAAAATTCAAAATGTGCTACAAATGACATCAACAGGAAGGTGGAAAGAAACTGCTGGATGGGAAGGGATGCTTGTGAGTTGCGTACCAGGCAAGGGACTCACTTCTGGAGAGGAATCAGAACTCGGCTGGAGACTTGGCGCAGTGCTAAGACACTGGCACAGCCCTCACAAGCCCTCCCTGGGTTCAATCCCAAGCACTGGGGAAAAATATTTAAAAAAATAAAAGAATGTTTACAACTCAACAACAGAAAAATGACCCACTTCAAAGTGGGCAAAAACACAGACAATTCTCCAGAGAAGATATACAAACTGGCACTGAGTGCAGGGAAAGACAGCCGCCACCCCTCCATAGCATGTTACCAGCTATGATAAAAAAGACACCTAGGACTGGGGACTTAGCTCAGTGGTTCCGTGGCCTGCCTTGCAAGCTTGAGGACCCGAGTTCGATCCCCGGCACCAAAAGAAAAAAAAGAAAAAAGACAGCCACGCCAAGCATTGCTGAGGAGGCTGGGATGTAGCTCAGTGGCGCCGCACCTGCCTGGCAAGTGCAAGGTCCTGAGTTCAATCCCTGGTACTAAAACCAAAACCAGTGCAACCCCCCCCAAAAAACAACCCCAAAAACCAAGTGTTGCTAAGGATTGGGGAAACAAACACACACTGTTGCTGGGGATGTAAAATGGTGCAGCTGGGCTGGGAAACATCTGGCAGTTAGTTCCTCATAAGATCAAACATTGCCATACAAAGCCCAGCAATTCTACTCCTAGGTGTAAATTCTAGAGAAATGAGAACATATTTCCATGTGACTTGTACCAAAAAAGTTCACAGCAGCATTATTCTTAACAGTCAAAAGGTAGAAACAACTCTAAGTCCAAATGTTCACAAATGAATAAAATGTAGTATATCCACGCAATGGAATATTATTTGTCCATGAAAAAGAGATTAAGTATCTATCCATATAACAACATGGATGAACCTAGAAAACACTATGCTAAGTGATTGTAACCAGTCATGAAAGACCACCTATTGTATGATTCAATTTATTTTAATGTCCCCAAGGGCTGTAAATGTGTTGTTCATGCCTGTTTTCCCAATACAAACACAGTTCTTGGCCGGTAGATGCTCAGTAAACACTCAAAAAATGAACAAATCAACCAACCAAAACACCCTGGGGAGCCAGGGATTTAGCTCAGTGGCTCTGGCGCCTGCCTCGAAAGCGCAAGGTCCCAAGTTCGATCCCCAGTACGAAAAAAAACAACCAAAAACACCCTGGGGAGACGGGGAGGCTTCTTTTAGCAACAGCAGCAGTTCACAGAAAACACTTACTATTGGCTGAAAATCAAAGAACAAAACACTATCCTGTGAGAAGGAAAAATATAACTTTAAAACTAAAAAAGCACTACAAATTTTCCAGTAATTTATTACTTAAAAAGAAAAACTCTCCAAATAAGTGACAAAGCGCCACTCCTCCAGAGGAAGATAAACGACAGAGCACCTCACACTGCAGAACCCTAGCTGTGTCACCCCTGCTTCAGTGACTTAGTACGGCCAGAGTCAGCTCCTTGGCCAGAACTCTGTAGGTGCCAGGCAAGACCGGATGAACCTAACCAGCCCTTTGCAGATATCACGGAGCCCAAAGCTCCCTGGGCTCTCTCACTCACAGGCAGCCAAACTGAACACCAGTGTGGACGGAGACACAGAGGAAGCGCTGCGCCTGGCCCACTACTGGGCAGCTGGGGTGCCCAGGGCAGCAGGGCCCCAGGGTTCTGAGGTGGGTTGGGCCCCTCCACCCACCCCAGCAGGGTGAGTCTCACTTTCGGCTCACACTTCCTATTTTCTACCTCAGCGTTATAAACACCCAGTCACCCAGTCACGGTGGGCAAAGGGTGGGGTCAGGTGGCGAGGGCAGCTCCCCCTCTAAATCCCACTTGCTTTGTCCTGAAAACTGGGCTAAAGACTCTCTCCCTCTGGAAATGGCCTTGGTGACGCTGAGTGAAGGGGACGCCGCTGGGGTCATGCGTGCAGAAGCTGCCCCTGGGACTCTTCGCTTCCTGGGCTAGTGATTTGTGGCATGACGCCCGCTCAGCCGCGGCCGCCCTCCAGCCACACCTGCACAGGGACAAAGCCAGACGCTAGAGCCGACTAGGGGCCAGCATTTGTGAAATACATGGGAAATGACAGGATCTACTCAACATTTCTTACGAAAGCGGCTCTGTGTGAGACGACTGGTCCGACCCCGGCTGATGGGAGCGCGCAGGCACAGAGGCTAAGTCAGGGTGTGCGAGGGTCCGTGCGGTGAACGCACTTCTGATTTGTCGCGTATGGGACGCGACCCCATCACAGGTCGAGGTGCACCTGTGCTGACCAAAGTGCCTGGCACTCGGTTCCTGGCCAGCTGCCCCTGTGGGCGGGCAGCCAGGCTGACCACGCCCCGAATCCCCAGTGCCCAAGGCTCACAGATCTGCACCGGTTACTGAGCAGCGGCGAGCGCTTAGCTCCCTCTCCCAAGCACACCAGGGCCTCACAGATGCCCATGCTCCTCTCTGGTCTGTCTGCGCCCTCTCAGGTGTAACCTGTCTCCTTTTCACTCGGCTCACTGCTGCCCTGTGCAGCCCGTCTGATGCCAGCCTCAGATGTCCCTAGAAGACCAGCACATCCCTCACCAGCCAGGCTTGGAGCCGGAGGGGATGGCAGTGAGCTGCTACCGGACCGGCGGGCAGGCGTGAGCGGGGCCGTCTGGGCAGAGCCCTGGGCTTCCTGGTTCGCCATGACGGTCGGTCAGGGTCTCCAGAGCCCTGGGCTGGGTGAGCAGGTGTGGGGCCAGGGAGCGAGAGGTGCACAGCCCCAGGGTGACGACCAAGGTGGGACCAGGGCAGGCAAGGAAAACCCTCTGAGGACGAGCAAGTGCGGGGCTGGCCCTGACGATGACCAGAGGAACTGGGGGCTGGAAGGGAACCCCGGAAGTGGGTTCAGCCTCTCCCCTCCCTGCCAGCCCCTCCTGCAAGTCCAGTGTGTGGGGTGCAGCTGAGCAGTGTGGTGCTGCCCATAAATCTCTGTCCCCGGGTAGTCAGGAGCCACGAAACAGCCAGCTCCAGCCCCAGAAGTGATAAATCAGGTGGAGAAAGGAAACTGTCGTGACAAGCGAGTGTCTCAACTCTGGAAATTGAGGGCAGCAGGAACTAGGCCAAACCTTACTTACTTGGAGGCTGTCAGCTTTCTGTCTGCCCCGGGAGCCAGCAGCACCGGCCTCAGGGGATCGTCAGGGTCCCTCAAACTCCTTGTGGAGGCAGGGGAGGCTGGCGGCGGTGGCCAGTGGTAGCAGGGGGAGGGGCAGCAC